CTGAATTGCTTTGTTTACCTTGGGCAGGTAGGTAACCTCTGGGCCCCAGTTCCTGTATGTGTATAAAGCAAATATAATAATGTATACCAGTCAGGAAATCATGAATTTATTTTTTATTTTTTTTTTGAAATCATGAATTTAACCATTCAATAAATGGTCTAGGAGCTGATAGACGCCGCAGAGAGGGCATGTCTAAATTTAGCCTGCAGTCCTGTTCTGTGTACCTCAGTTTGTTACCATCTAATTTTGGTGTCAGAATTAGAGTTCTTTATTAGCAAAATTACAAAATGAAGTTTATATCCCTTCCTTATCATACAATCTCTTTTCAAAAAGTCATTTTATAATTCTGACACCATTTCAATGCTTTCACTTCCAGTTCTTGTATCTTTTTGCCTTTAAATTCTTTCCTCCAACTTGGTAAACTGGTTCTTGATCATATTTTAAAAGTCAAACAAACAAAATGATAATAAAAATAAAGCATTGCAGGTTGAGAACTGGAGTTGTACTGCCAAAGGTACTTTAAACATCTTAAACAGGCCAGTGTTCAAGAAATACAGGTCTGGTTAAAAATACTGATAAATAAGCATTTAGGTAAATACCAGGTAAATATTTTCATTTGTGGTAAGTAAAGGCCTCCAGTGAATCAAGAGCATGTTTAAAATACAACATATGAGAAAAATACACTTTTAAAAATGTTGTTTCAAAGCAGTATTCTTTTCTCATTTCCCAGTAATCTTTCCATTTTTAGAGGCAAGTGAGGTTCAAAGGTCAGCTGTTAGTTCATCCTGTACTTTTCTGAAACTACCATATATGTTTAAACTTAAAATTTTTTCCTTCTTCCCTCCCTCCCTCTCTCCCTTTATCCCTGCCTGTTTGTAATTTCTGTCTAGGATTTTTACATAGGGAACTGTACAAACCAGGGTAGTGCCTCACATGTATTTTTATACTTTTGTGTATTCTTGGGACTCAGTTTAAAGAAATGTTTTAAAGTGTGTTCATTCTGTATTGCTTCCAGATAAAATTATTATTTCACTTATTATCTAAAAGGATAAAAGTAAGTTTATAAGAAATTTACTTTAGACCTTTTAGGCTGAGCCCAAAGTATTTGATTCGGAGACTGAACTTAACTCTCCTGTAGGTAAAATATGATCAGTGGAGGTGGGGAATGTGAGCAGGACATAGAGGAACCTGATGAAAGGAAAGGAAATATTAGCCGGTAGGTAAGGAGCAGTTGCTGACTGAGGCAGAAAGCCAGAAGCAAAAGCTGCTACAAAGCAAGATCTTATTGAAAAAGGGGAGGGGAGGGGCGCCTGGGTGGCTCAGTCGTTAAGCGTCTGCCTTCGGCTCAGGTCATGATCCCGGGGTCCTGGGATCGAGCCCCGCATCGGGCTCCCTGCTCCGCGGGGAGTCTGCTTCTCCCTCTCCCTCTGCCTGCTGCCCTGCCTGCTTGTGCTGTCAAGTAAAAAAAATTTTAAAAAAAAAAGGGGGGGGGTGGAGGGGAAAAAAAAAGAGCTCAAGGACTCTGGCTTTCTTATTCTCTTCAACCATGTATCACTGTTTTTGAATCTGTACTCTGATTTTCCCATACTTGGACGGTCTTATGTAAAGCCCTGCTCTTCTGTCTGCTTCTGTTGAATTAGGGTCTGTTAATGATGTTTTAATTTTTTCTCTCTCATCCCATCACTTCTTGTCAGCTTCTAGGAGTCTGTTAGAAACAATGTATTTTGATGTTCAGGCTGTTTTCCCCTCCAGCCTTCTTAAGGGCTCTGACCTACTTAAAATTAAAGGGGGAAGAAAACCCTAAAAGATACACTATTTTGGGTGTGAAGAACTGGACGTACTGCTTAGCGGTGCCTTGATAATTCAGGAAAAAGTCCTTTGTTCTCTGTTTTTTATTGAGTGACTTCCTGTGCAAAGACAAATTGGATCAGCATTTTTTCTGATTTAAGAGGGAAGGAGTGATAGCTGTGTTTTGCATTTTCTGATGCTAATTATATTGTAGTTTTCTAAGATGTTTTTCTTTAAAATTTTGGATTTGTGAGGACATAAAAAGGTTTATCTTCTTGTTCCCCTTTTTGCCAGTTCATAAAAATAAATCGTGCTAGGGAAGAATAATTTATAATTCATAGCCTCTTCCGATGAGTGGTACTGTTTTTTTTTTTTTAAGATTTTATTTATTTGAGAGAGAGAGAATGAGAGATAGCACGAGAGGGAAGAGGGTCAGAGGGAGAAGCAGACTCCCTGCCGAGCAGGGAGCCCAATGTGGGACTCGATCCCGGGACTCCAGGATCATGACCTGAGCCGAAGGCAGTCGCTTAACCAACTGAGCCACCCAGGCGCCCGAGTGGTACTGTTTCTAAAGTAGAGGTTTGTAATCAGTAGGCTGCACTATTCAGATATGTAAGACAACCATACACCTGGGTTTGCCAAGGATAGCCCCAATTTAAGTATGTTTTCTTGGCTTATTATTAGGGAAAGGAAAGAAAGAAGCCCCTTCACTCTGAAAAGTGTATTGGAATGATGAATTATGTGGTCACCCTGGCTTAATGTCTTCATAGATCTCCAGTGTGGTTACTGTGTCCACACTTTCTTCTCTGGGGTCAAAATGTCCATTTGGGCAGAAGGCTTGGAAAGGTGTTCCAGAATGATTGGGGTTTTGTCTCTCTAGATGGTGGGATTATAAACGATGTTACATTTTCAGTGTATGTGCTCTACTTTCCAGCTTCTTACTAAAAATGATTTTGTTATTAAAACCAAAACAAAAGAACTAAAGAAGTTTTCAAAGATTGTTTAACAAAAATAAAATGGGGACTATGTAATGGTGAAGCCTATCAATCAGGCTTGTGCATTCTAAGCAATATAAAATGACCTTGTCTATTTTTTTTTTAAGATTTTTTATTTGAGAGAGAAAGTGAGAAAGTGGCAGAGGGAGAGGCGGAAGCAGGCTCCCCGCTGAGCAGGGAGCCCAATGTGGGGCTCAATCCCAGGACCCTGAGATCATGACCTGAGCCAAAGGCAGATGCTTAACTGGCAGAGCCACCCAGGTGCCTCCTGACTTTGTCTATTTTAACTAAGAAATACAGTTTATTGGAATGATTGAAGTAGTTGACTCTTGAACAATGCGGGAGTTAGGGGTGCTGACCCCCCAGCGGTAAAAAATCTGCATATAATTTTTGACTACCAAAAACATAACCACTAATCGCCTACAGTTGACGAACCCTTACTGATACTGATATAGCACACATCTTGTATGTTACATGTAATGGAGGATAGTCAGAAGAAAGGCATGTGGGGAAGGGGTCCCTGTCCTAAGAGGAAACTACCCTTAAAAGGGGGAAAAAAAAAACCCATCCTGTTACTCTATACCACTCTGGAAGGAGCCCTCCACCGTTTCCCATGTGAACAGCTACCTGACAGGGAGTTGAGTACGTGGACAAAAACCTGATTGGGTGGCAGGTGCATGGAGGGTTAGCCAAATTAAAACAGCTTGCCAACAATCTCATAAAAACCCCTAGACTTAGGGTGCCTGGGTGGCTCAGTCGTTAAGCGTCTGCCTTCGGCTCAGGTCATGATCCCAGGGTCCTGGGATCGAGCCCCACATCGGGCTCCCTGCTCGGCGGGAAGCCTGCTTCTCCCTCTCCCACTCCCCCTGCTTGTGTTCCCTCTCTCGCTGTGTCTCTCTCTGTCAAATAAATAAATAAAATCTTAAAACCCCTAGACTTAGGAACTCCAGTGGCAAACTTCTCAGGTCCCCTCCCTCTTAGGGAGCTTTGTACAATCGCTCAGTAAACTTTGCGTTGCTGCCCACCACTTCGTCTGGTCTACCTCTTCATTCTTCGAAGCTGTGTGACCAAGAACTGGGGGCACTAAAGGAAAAGAAATCCTGAAACAACATGTATTATAATACTGTATTCTTGGGGTGCCTGGGTGGCTCTCTCTCTCTGTCAAATAAATAAATCTTAAAAAAAAATACTGTATTCTTACAATAAAGTAAGCTAGAGAAAGAATGTTATAAAAATCATAAGACAGAGAAAATATATTTATAGTACCGTACTGTATTTGTCAATAGCATAAGTTTATGTCGTCTGTTGATAATATGAATTGTCTGTCAGTACCTGCATTAATATGGTCTTACATGATACAAAACACTATAGCTGTTACACATATTACTAACACTAGACATCAGAAATGAAAATAGGGCGCCTGGGTGGCTCAGTCGGTTAAGCGACTGCCTTCGGCTCAGGTCATGATCCTGGAGTCCCGGGATCGAGTCCCACATCGGGCTCCCTGCTTAGCAGGGAGTCTGCTTCTCCCTCTGACCCTCTTCCCTCTCGTGCTCTCTGTCTCTCATTCTCTCTCTCTCAAATAAATAAATAAAATCTTAAAAAAAAAAAGAAAGAAATGAAAACATAGGAGCGCCTGCGTGGCTTAGTTGGTTAAGCATCTGACTCTTGATTATGGCTCAGGTCATGATCTTGGGGTCCTGGGAACAAACCCTGTGTCAGGCTTTGTGCTCAGCAGGAAGCCTTCTTGAGGATTCTCTCTCCCTCACCCCTTTGCCCCTCCCCACTCACCTGTGTGTGCTTGCGCATGCTCTCTCAAATAAATAAATAAATCTTTACAAAAAAATGAAAACAATGTGAAAAAGTAATTTATATTTATTTACAGGTATAACGCTTCGTGCATTGATAATGAAGAAGCAGCAATATGGTTGTTTTATATAGCCTACTGTAAGCAATACAATTGCTTCATGGTAGCCTAGCTTATACGTTAGTGAATGCATTGTTATAAAATTTTTGTGCCATACAGTATTAGAGTCATTCATAATACAGTATTAGAAACATTGTTACATTAAAAAAAAATCCTGTACCTGTGATGATAGGATGATGAGCAGTTCCTCTAGATATGAGAGAGGCATACTGTACAGTAATGTAATTCTTTAAAAAGCAGAGTTATAAAATAGAAAATCAGCACAATATTTTATATTAACTACCACTCACCTTATGCCTACATAAGCATAGGCTATCCACTTCCATGCAGGTCATGGACACACGACGTTCTTTATGGTGAATACATAGGCAGTGATGATGGTGATGACACAGACATGTCTCAGATGGTGGTTGTCCCTACCGTTCTTAGATTTTCACACACAGATACTCACATACCCCACAGATGAGCTTATTACCTGTACGGCTTGGTGGTGGTTTACTGTTCACTAAGTGGAAGTAGGTCATCATAAAGTCTTCCTCCTGTCTTCTTCGGGCTGCTCAGGCTGAGGAGGAAGTAAACGAAGGGGTGGGGTTGGTTTTGCTGTCTCAGGAGTGGCAGAGGTGGAGGAGATGGGAGGCGAGCCTGGAGAGACAGGCACACTGGGTGTAACCTTCTGGGAATACATCCTAACGTTGGACTTCTTTTGCTATATTGCATTTCTCTGAACATGCTTCTGTCTGGTACCAATCCTTCTTGCACTATTTACTTTAGTTTCGGGGCCTATATCACACAAGGGCCCAGGTCGTAAAAGAAATCAAAAGCAGTCTTGAGTAATCTGAGCCCTTCTGCCGGATTGTCCAGTGTCCGTTTGTTTTCTGGGGCTGCTTCTCCTGGGACTTCTTCCTCACCATCTAGCAGTATCCAAGAGCGCTCGTCTCCATCAAGTCCTCTCTTAATTCCTGTGGTTCTGGTGTCAGTTTAACTCTTGAGTTTCTCTGAGATCCGTATCTTGAAACCCTTTACCCACCCACTGTTTTTGCCATATCAACAGTTTCTTTCATGATTTCCTTGATTGGCTCTGTCATAAATCTGTGAAGTCATGCACAGCATCTGAACACAGTTTTCTCCAGCAGAAATGTCTTGTTTCAGACTTGATGGCTTTAATGGCTTTTTCTATAACAACAATGGCATCTTCAGTGGTGTAATCCTTCCAGACTTTAATGATGTTCTGTCAAGGTTCTCTTCCATAGTGTTCACAATCCGTTCCATTATACATCACCATGTGTAATGAGCATTAATGACCCCGATCTAGAGGCTGAGTTGGAGCCATTGTGTTTGAGGGCAAGTAGTCCATTTTGATACCTTTGGTGCTGATCTCATGGGGGTTCTGGGTGCCAGGGGGCATTGTCCAATCAAAAAAACTTTAAACAGCAGCCCCTTAATGGCAAGGCACTTCCTGACTTTAGAGACAAAGCTCGAGGGAACCCATGCAGAAAAAGGGGTTCTCACTGTCCAGGCCTTCTTGCTGTACAACGAGAAGACTGGCAGCTGATGTTTATCTTTGCCCTCTGGGCACTGGGGTTAGTAGTGTTACAGATAAGGGCGGTCGTGATCATAAACAGCACTGTGCTTGTACAAAACAGTAGAGGTAGACCCTTCCTTCCTTCCTTAAACCCTGGTGCTTGCTTCTCTTCCTTACTTATAAATGTCCTTTGTGGCACTTTTATCCAGAATAGGGCCCTTTGGTCTGCATTAAAAACCTGTTCAGGCAGATATCCTTTCTCCTCTGTGATTTTCTTAATGGCGCCTGAGAAGTCATTTGCTGTCTCTTGGTTGGCAGAAGCTGCTTCTCATCTTAACTTTTTTTAAAGCCAGATCTCTTTCTAAAATTATCAAACCATCCTTTGCTGGCATTAAATTTTCCAGCTTTAGATCGTTTACTTGCCTTTTATTTGAAGTTGTCATGTAATGACTTGGCTTTTTCTTGAATCCTGTTAGTCTTAGAGGTATGTCTTTCATTTAGCCATCCTGTACCCCCATAAAAGCTGCATTTTCAGTACGGGATAAAAATGTATTTTGCAGAAAGTCCAAGGTTTTCGTGCCTCCTGGCATAGCAGCAGTGACAGCTTCCTCAACTTTTCTTTCTTCTACAGCAGTCCCTACGCTGGATTCATTTATCTTGAAATGGTGGACACCATAGCTGCAGACCTCAATCCACGCACATACCAGGCAGTTGAACTTTTTCTTGTAAGGTCATGCTTCCTGCCTCATCAGTGGCACTTCTTATGGGTCCCATGGTGTTGTTCAGGGTTTATGGTCTGGCACTAAACACAACAAAAAATATATGAGAATTGGAAGAGATCACTTTTACCAAGATACAGTGTTTCCTGGAGAGCCAGCCTGCTTGTGCTGTGATGAGGGTCACCCAGCACTTTAAGTGGCTGCTCACCACACGTGAGCTCCCCGCACTAGCAGGAGAGATGGCTCTGAAGTTATTACAGTAGTGCAGGGTGTATTACAGTTAATTTTAACGCAGTTAGGATTTAATACTGCATCTTTGTTTACATTTCTCTTGACTGCAAATGGCGCCATGTACAGTCTGTAAGTGTGTGTAAGTTTTGATAAATTTTTAAATTTTTAAAAAGATTTTATTTATATGAGAGTGAGAGGGAGCGCACAAGCGCACAAGAAGGAGGGAGGGGCAGAGGGCGAGGGAGAAGCAAGCTTCCCGCTGAGCAGGGAGCCCACCCTGGGCCTCAACTCCAGGACCTGAGCCGAGTCAAAGGCAGACACTTAACCGACTGAGCTTCCCAGGTGCCCCTAAATTTTAACTTTTAATAATTTGTGTATATTTTATGGTAGTAAATGATAAAATAGACGAGTAACTACATATCTTTTATGCATTTGTGACATACCTAATTTTTTCTGAAATTTTTTGGATATTTCTCGGCCATGCAGTTTGTCTGCATGTTATTCAAATTGTCAAAAATCTCCAAAAATCTTTCAATATATTTATTGAAAACAATCTCTGGTCCATGTATGGGGAGATTTTTTTACAGTTCAAAGCCATGTTGTCACAGGGTCACAGATGTAGGTGGTGGAACAACAGAAAAGCTGGAGGAGTAGTGGAGAGACCCTGGGTGGGCCTGGGGGCCTCTTGGCTCCTGGACACGCCCACCTGGGTAGCTGGACCCCTCCCGCCCTGGTGGTGCTTCCTGGGCCAAGGGCCTGTGCTCTGGCCTTAAAGGAGCAGGAACAGATCACATCTACTCCAGGACTGGGAGGCAGAGCTGTATGGGGACTCCCGTGTGAAGTTTTTTTATCATCTAGCCACACCCAAGAGATGAGAATAATAACAACAACAACAATAATAATAGTCTAGTTATCTTGATATCTCCTCTCTTAGGAATTTGAAGGAGGCATGCCTCATCTTTAAAAGGAATCTGCTTTGATTTGAAAATGATCATTAATTACCACTAGTTGAGAGTCCCAAGTAGTGTTGCTTTGCTGTTCTTTACTCTGCATGATTCAGCGCTTACTTAGAACCTCTTGTCATTTGCCTGGTTGGAGGAGTAGGAAATAGTTATTTTGATAGAGGGGTTGATTTAGATACATGCTTTGCCTCTAGCCCTAGGTTATTTTGCTCATGAGTTGTTTCAAACTTAATAATGTAGCTTTTTTAGTTCTTTAGTTGTCAGAATGTACTGCTGTTGTTATTGGCTGTTTATAAACATTTACGTGTATATAATGAACCTAAAACCAAGCAAGAAAAATAGAAATCTCTTGTGTTAATTGCTCTGGGATATGCTTTCTTAGGTTCTTAAAGTCTGGGTTGTGGTTTTAATAGAGTACCCAAGTGTCTCATGTCTGGTGGCAGGACCCATCTGTGTGAGAACTCTTCACTTAGCAGAGTCAAGGTATTCAAGTTTTTAAACATACATGGTAATTACAGGAAAAAGTTTGTGGCCTCAAAATTAAGTCTGATTTACATTTTTCTAATCAGAAGTGGAATGTGAGATTTAAGTAATGTTTAGAGTTCCTTTCAGGGACGAAAAGTGTTTGGGCCCCAGAAGAATTACCAGCTTAAACGGTTTGCCCCTTTGAACTTTTAGTTGTTTTAGTAAGGAAGATTTGTTTGATGAACATGATATTTGCACGTTCTTCTCCTAGGAGTTACAACATTTAATTGATCCAAGTAAAGGTGTAAGTGTCTTTTGAGAATGCGCTGAGTAGGTTGCATAATTTAGTGGATCTTTTATTAGTAGACTTGCACTAGGGAGTGGGAATACGCAGGATGTTATGACAAAAAATATTTGTTAGATTTTCTATTTTTTTTCTTTACGTTTTAGGATTAATCATTTTGGCAGCCTACAGAGTGGTATTTCAGAAAATCACCTTTCCTTTTCTTTTTTTTAAGTAGGCTCCATGCCTAGCATGGGGCTTGAACTCAACGACCCTGAGACCAAGACCTGGGCTGAGATCCAGAGTCGGACGCTTAATTGACTGAGCCACCCAGACACCCCCAGAAAGTCACTTTTCAAACCAAATTTGATCAAAAGCATAAAGACTGTGGGTTGTTATTTTGCTTGTTTTGTTTTTCAGAATTGTTTCTGTGTGTTGCTGTGAAATATCTTGAGTTTCTGGTAGTCTCAGAAAGCTGATGATGCATGGTGTTCTGGCAGCTCTCCAGGCCCAGGGCCTGTCTTGGCACAAACCTGACTTCACCGTGTCACCTGCTATAATTTAAAGAGAATCCTCAAACCATTGTCTGTTTCCTCAGAGACATTATGTCATATTCCGCATCTTGCAGCACTGTGTGAAACAGCGTTCCCAAACTGCTGTTCGGATTCTATCTCTACATTTGTGGAGGTGGTTCGTTTGACTCTTTTCATTTATTTATAGCTCCTTAATAAAAATCTTGAAGTGATTCATCTTAACTGCTTAAATTTGGTATCTCACACCTGGTGTCCATAGGAGCTCCTCGGCACCCCGTTGGTGTGTGCTGCTGCCTCGGTTTGTCCTTGTCTCCTCTCTGTCTCTGTGGTCAGCAGTATCATTTTAGGGGAAAGATGTTTGGTTATGTGTCAAAGGTTTGGGGTTGGACCCATCGTTTACTAGCTGTGTGATCTGAGATGGGTCTCTTACATTGCCCTAAAATCTGTTTCCTCATCTGTAAAATGGGAATAAAACCAGCTTTTTCCCTCTTACAGCACTGCTGTATGAGAAGAGAGATGATTTTTCAGTGAATCAGCTATCCGTAAATTATAATACACATCATTATTTGACATGCCACTAAGAAAGAAAATTCACTATGTATTAAACTATGTTGTTATACCATTGATTGCAAAATGCATCCTGCTATGAGAAATTATAAATGTGAAAAACATGTATGTTAAAATAAGTGAAATGTGTTATGTTTGATAGCTCCATTCTCCATATTGCTGTCAGAGTGATATGTTAAAAATCACAAGTCTTGTGATGTCATTTCCCTGCTTGAAATTCGTCAATGATTCCCCA